GAACCCACGTTGAATGAACAGGGGTTTCCTCCTCTGTACTCACGCCATCAATGCACTAGACGATTCGATCTCAGGAATCAATGTTTTGTGTTCAAATATTGATCCACTGAAAAAAAAATCTCGGTGTATTTGCTAAGAAAAGGGTAAAATTACCAAGAATTCAGGGTTCTTTTTGATCCCAGTTTTTTCCTTGGTAAAATTACCAATTATGGAATTGGTAATTTTACCGATAAATCTCGGTAATTTTACTGGACCTTGGTAAAAACGCAAATATTTTTTATCGACTATGGTAGAATTACCGAGATAAAATGGCAAAGTTACGGGGAATTGATTACCAATAAAAGTGGTATTCTTACCTGGAAAAAAACCAGTAAATATACCGGTTTTTAGGTAATTTTACCAGTCTGTCTCGGTAAAATTACCAATAGTTGGTGAAAAAAGTGAGATGGTAAAGGTACCAACGGACCTTGGTAAGAACGCCGAGAATTTTTTTTCTGTGTCGCAGTAGGTTCCTAATACACGTAACTGGGCTCCTATTTTAGCTCTATGTAATCTGGTAGTTCGGTTGCAGGAATTGAAAGTCTGGTCATTTAATTCAAAATTTCGGTCTCGCGAATCAAAAGTTCGGTCATATGAACCATGAGTTCGGTTAAACGAACCAACACACGAACCACAAGCTCGGTCACATCAACCAAAGCTTCGTTACATAAACCATAAGTTCGATCACGCTGAGTAGGAGTTATTTCATACGAAGCGAAAGTTCAATCACTCAACCAATCATTCGGTTTGACAAACTAGTAGTTCGGTTTGGCAAACTAAAAGTTCGGTTTGGCCAATCAAAAGTTGCATTTGACAAACCACAAGTTCGATTCGATAGTAAACCGAGTTGTTCGGGTCACTGTATATCTCATTTTTTTAGTTTGAGTGCTCGATGATGTGTCGAAGCCGTTTTGAAAATATGAAGGATGAATATTTGTTGATAGTTTTCACTGTGAAAAATGGAGGAGTGATATTCGGTGCCGGAATGTTCACTAATGTAAAATGTTCACTATTACAGACAAGTTACGCATATCTTCCCTTGAAACTTTCAGATTTTTTCGATTAAATTGTGAACAAAATTGCCCGAAAAATTAGCGAAAAAATATTCTAAGTTTTCCCAGTAAATTTGTTTTTTATTGAAGGAAATGCTGCAACGCATGAAGGCTCATACGGCGCGTTTTCCCTAGCACGGCAGGACGGAGGTAGCCTCTCCTAAGCTCTCAAATTGCTTTTTTCTGTTGCTACAAACAAACTGAGAACGGAAGCGGTTTCTTATCTTTGTTTAATTGAGCGAACTCCCCCGCGGGAATGGCATTTTTCCGAGTCAATATTTACTCCATGTCTCCTGTCCTCGGCCGAGGGGTGGTTCTTTTGGACCCCTATACCTCGCCCAAGACAATAGCTCCACTTAGAGTCCCTTCATACTGAGAGTCAAGACAATGTGAATCCATTTCTGATTGGTTCCCGTATTTTAGGCCTCCACAGTGTCACAAACGGGAATAAAGGTTACAGTTTCACCGATTGCAAAGATTATATCGTAGAATGGGCCGGGGAATGACGGGTTCGACAAGGAACAAACGGAATGAGAGAAGGGACGGAGAAAGGAATTTGAGAATGAGTCGATCAAAGATTACGAAAAACTCCCAATTTGTGTAATCTTTATTCCCGTTTGTGACTCCATGAGGGGGGTTGTCTTGACTCTCAGTATGAAGCCAGTCTGAGGTATGACTCTAGCTCCACTCTCACACGGCTCCTATCCACATCCGTGCACAACAAAAAGTTCGTCCTGACGGTGCGTATTTGTCTGGACACAGCGGCGATTTTGCAAGTTGGCAACACTGCTTTTCCGCCTTTAAAATCCATTAAAAATATCGATTTTAGGTGAGCATTAGAATCGATTGTTTTACATACATTTAAATGGAGGAAAAACGGTGTTGCCAACTTTCAAGAATCACCACTGCACTCTCGGCACTGCTGATAAACTACTGAAAGTAACTTAATACGATGAGTCACGAAAAAGCCTCCAAAAGAAGTCGGAATCAATGAACGGTCATAACTACCAGAAACTCCGAACATGACTTATTTCCGGAAAACTCGCGCTCTTATCATTTCTTAAGGTTAATTTCCGTTCCTCTCGTCATTTTCCTCTCCTAGTATAAAATCCACCTAAAAGCTCTTAATACCCCGTGCTAAAACGTGACTTAATTCGATGAGTCACGAAAAAACGAAGTTGGAATTAATGAACGATGTCCTAACTACCGGAAACCGCGGAACATGGCTCATTTCCGGTAAGAGCGAAAATCCGTGCACTTATTATTTCTTGAAGCCAGCGTCAAGTAGCTCGGGTCGGAACTTGAAAATAATCATCACTTAATTCGATCCTCGGAAACCGTAGTATTCTAACAACTCCTTCTCGGGTCGACACTTGTACTACAGTACCGTGCTAAGGAAAAACGCCGTATGAGCCTTCAGGCGTTGCCGAATTTCCTCCAATAAAAATCGAATTTACCGGGAAAATTGTAAATGTTTTCCCCCACAATTTTCAGACAATTTTGTACGCGATTTAATCTAAGATATCTGAAAACGTCAAGGAAAAGTATGCGAAACTTACCTCACAAATAGATGTTTTATTCGAGGAAATTTGGCAACGTCTGAAGGCTCATACGGTGTTTTTCCTTAGCACGGCAGTGTACTACACCTTGCGTGTTTGATTTAACTCTCCTAGTTCCTCGGTGTCGGCTCGGTCTTCAAGTGGAGCTTTTTCGCGCTTTTACCGGTGGACTTTCCTCGAGTATCGGACTGTGAGCGAGGAAAGCTGGCAAGTGTAAGATCCGCGCCTTGGCGGCTATCTTATCTCGTTGAATATTTAAATTCGGTTTGAATCTGAATTAGGGCCTCGCCTCAAGTGCGTGCCCGACTTGTCAGCTTCAGCCTCACTCTTTTTTTATGAAGATCCAGTCCAAGGGCCGTACTTCACGATAGTTTTACAGTCTCCATGATTGAAAAGGAACACTCGCGGGTCAGGGGGTCCCAGTAACACATTGTGTCCAGCGGGCCGATTATTGAAATTGATAGACAAAGCTATGGACATAGAAGATATATAGGGAGTATGGAGCGATCTTATTGGTTGGAGTGAGTGGTTCCTATGGATTAAGGGGGAAAATGATGGACTAACTAAATGTTTCTCGTGGGTTGCTGTTCGTTAGTACATATATATTACTTGCCTCCTTCACTGGTAAAAAAAGCACATTGAATCTAGAGTCCAGACTCTTGAAAACATTGACAAGAAAAAAATACTCCTGATTCAATCAGATTTAAGCTTAAATCAAGAATCAAGCCGCTTAATTTGAGCGGATCTCCTTTTGATTCAAGCTTAGATCTGATCGAATCAAGAGTCCATTTTCTTGTCAATGTTTTCAAGAGTCTGGAGTGGAGTCTAGATCCAATGTGTTTTTTTTACCAGTGTTTGTCCATTGCAACCTCCCATTTTCACCAATAAGATCGCTTTATATTCAGCGTGTCTTCTTTGTCCATAGCTTTGTTTATTAATTTCAATGATCGTCCCGCAGGACCTTGAAAACCGGAATTCGTCAGGGAATGAAATATTTATGGGAAAATTAGGGAATTTCCTGAGAAATGTGCGTTTGATTGATTAAAAAACCGGGGGTTTCTTGTTTCCTCTTTCTCCGCTCTGATATTAAACCATTCCTAAAAACAGTGATTTGTTTCAATTTGGCTCCAAGAAATCAGACATAAGATGAAAACGTCAATTTTTTAGATCGACTTCGTGGGAAAATCCTGTATTAAAAAAAAAATTCTAAGGAAAACTTATGAAAATCCTGAGTTTTCCCTCAAAAATTAGGAGATTGTCGTGGATTGGAAAAAATCAACCCCCGTCTCTACAAACAAGGCAGACATTTTTGTACGTATTCGTTATCATAAGCTCCTTTATCTTTAATTTTGGAACACGCATTTTTCTTCACGCATAAGTCTTTTACCCGTACGAAGTTTCAGGGTTAGAACTCTTTCTTCTGTTACCAGGGGAAAATGGGGAAAAGTGCGCCTGTTTTCTGGAAATCATGTTTGAAAATTAATTACTATTGAGAGAAATTGAGGAAAGATAATGAAACCTTAGAAGTTGCAGAATCGGAGAAGATATTTTTTGAGTTTACTTCAAGCAATTGATTCGAATAAGTTCCTTGAGGACTCTCTAAGAGTAAATTCATCTTCGAGTATCGTGACATTCCTATCCGTGTGCTCTCTGAAAAGTTTCCAACTGCAGGATGAAATATCGAAGGAATTCATTACTAGGCGGAGATGCTCAGCTCCTCATGTTTTATGGTTTCGCTCCTCTTTCAACTTGCTCGACAAAATTAGGTTTTTCATTGAGAAAATGACCAGTTTTTTTTTTTTTTTTTTTTTTTTTTAATTGATTCAATTTTTATTTGTTAAAGAAAAAAATACTCAAATGTATTTATTTTTCTTGGCTGGGAAAAACAGGGGTTTGCCGAAACAACCTTTTTAAATTAAACTTTTTTATTCCTTGTTCAAAGGCATTTTGTTTACTCAAACAAAAATTTGTTTGATATCCATGCTACATACATTTTGAATGTAAGAAAACTTCATTTAAAAAACAAAAATAAAATAAAAAAATCCGTAAGCCAAATTTAAAGTTCTTTAAGTCATTGAAACTTCTACTAAATTAAACAAGTGCACTCACTACGTACTTCAGATCAGAAGGAACCTTTTATTCTCCGAGGACAATATTTTTCTTTTTAAAAAAGAATAAGCTCCTAAACATTTTCTTCTGTGATTCTGTTTACAGTTTCAAAAATCATGGTTTACATTTTAAGAAAAGAAGAACAAAAAGCATGTGAACGTAAATGAATGTTTCCTTATTCTATCATTGTATCATTCATATTTCATGCGTACTAATTATCTAATTTGCTATTATTTTTCAGGTGCTGGAGAATCGGGGAAAAGTACTATAGTGAAACAAATGAAGTAAGTTAATCGATTCTTGATTTTACTTCCTGCTGCAAATCACAATTGAGGATTTGGGTACAGAAAGGGCATTTCTTGGTTGTAGTGTTTCAGAAACTCCATTGCTAATTTCAAAATCTTCACTGCTAATTCATATTTTAGAGAGGAAACCTTTGAGCAAATTGTCTTAATTTTTTAGTTTTCAGCATCGTAAAATCATATAGAAAATTCAGTAAAAATCTTAAGGAATGTCATGCGGTTGATTAAATTATAGTGGATGAAACGTTAACGGTAATCCTGAAACACCGTAGTAACCAAGAAATACCCTTTCTCCATCTGCACCCAGCGCTTTAATTGGTGATGGGCATTTTAAATAATTTCATTAATCGAAATATATTGGACGATGAACTTCAGTTATTGGATTGATCTCACTTATGTTCGCCAATCCATGCGAATTGGGCATCGAAATGAGATTCATGTTTCTGACTTATTCATTAGAAGACGTCACAATACCAAAAACAGTGGTGCTATAGGAAAAGTTCGCGAAGAAATCCCTCCGATTGCCTGAGTGCCTGTATGCATTCGTTTTAAAACGAACGCACTCTCATCCGAATGTTGCCCTCAGAGATTTCTTTCCATATTCTTTTCGCAGCAGAACTTCTCCTTGGAAGCCAGGTTTGAGCATCAGAACACGATTTTTTGACACAACCCATCCGTTTTCGGGGAACGCCACAGTAAATCGCAGAGAGGCGCTGCTAGAAAAAGCGAAAACAGTTCAACAGCGAAACTTCAGGAACGACACGGAGAAAAAAACTTCGTGCGTTGAACCCAAAGTTTAGGTCATATGGATCTCTAAAGTTTTCGGATTGAGCATCTGAACACTTCAGGTCCAGCTGTTAAGGTTTGGATCACACAACTGAAACTTCAGTCCTTACATCTAAAGTACTTCGGTTTTCACATTCGAAAAACTTGGGTTCTCACATCTGAAGTACTTCAGATGTAAATACTGAAGTACTTCAGATGTAAAGACTGAAGTACTTCAGATGTAAAGACTGAAGTACTTCAGATGTAAAGACTGAAGTACTTCAGATGTAAAAACTGAAGTTTCAGATGTGTGATCCGAACCTCGACAGCTAGACCTAAAGTGTTCAGATGCTCAATCCGAAAACTTCAGAGATCCATATGGCCTAAACTTCGGGTCGCACGCACGAGGTTTTTTTCTCCGTGTAGTATATCGGTTTGCAACGTCAATAAGACCTCCTGTTCTTGTTTTACTTTACTCTTAGATGGAAATGTTCTTCACGGCATTCCTTTAAAACATTCCTCAATTTTTTCCTGTGCGCGAAGAAAATTCTGTGAAATTTCTGAGTCAGGATTTTGTTTCTTTCTCAAGAAAAATATAAAATAAAAAATAAAAAGGAGCGTTGATTTTGAGACACCGGGATTGAGGTACGCGTTTTTGCAGTTACGGCCTCTGGTTACATTTGGCACGCAGGGCCACACGCGCCACGAAACGTTGCCAAATTTCCCGCTTGTTTTCTCAAGGAACTCGGCCGTCAATTCGTCTAACTGTGCACCTGCACAATTTTCGTCCCAAAGTTTCCTGATTTTTGCATGGAATCAGAGGAAACATCAGTAAAATTTTCAGTTAAAAATAGAGTCCCTTTATACTGAGAGTCAAGACGATGTAAATCCATTTCTGATTGGTTCCCGTATTTTAGGCCTTCACAGTGTCACAAACGGGAATAAAGATTACATTTTCACCGATTGCAAAGATTATCTGGAATGGACCGGAGAATTACGGGTTCGGCAAGGAACAAACGGAATGAGAGAAGGAACGGAGAAAGGAATTTAAGAATGGGCCGATCGAAGATTACAAAGAACGTCCGATTTCTGTAATCTTTATTCCCGTTTGTGACTCCATGAGGGGTGCTGTCTTGACTCTCAGTATAAAGGGACTCTAGTTAAAAATGCTCAAAATTCTCCTGATGAAAATGAAATTTTCGAAAGGGAATTTGGCAACATTGAAATGTAGTTACGTTCCTTCGTGATGGAAACGACGACTTTTCCCAGGAGGGGACTGAACGTTGCTGATCGGCCGTTTTTCGCTCGAACTTATTCTCATCGGGAACTTCGGACGCATTCACGTTCGATTCAGCGACGGGTATCGGCACACACCTTGGAAAGCTGTCAAAGTTGTTACCGATAGAGCTTTTGTTCCGTTCCCCGCTGGATCCTCGACAGCTTTCTTTATGACTGACAGATAATTCCCAGTGCTCGACTCGTTCGTGATAGCGAAGAGAGCAGTAACTGTATTCCTGTATGAGCCATGGTTAGCACATGCGTTTATGTGTCTCGAGGTTCATCCCAGCATGCACTTATTGCTCTCTTCGCTATTACGGCAGATAGGGAGTGCATTTCCGCGTTTTCACGAGCCGCTAGCGAGTTTCCCCGGGCTTCGTGGAGGGGCCGCAGTGTAAAAGTTCAACCGGATGGATGGTGGAAATGGAGGGAGAAAACCTTCCATATCAGTTACGACTCACGATCCTAGCCACACAGCTGCTTCAAAGCAATTTTAAAAAAAAAGTGAGAAACAGAACACTAGAAAAAAAAAAGAAAGAAAGAAAAAAAAACACATTGGATCTAGAGTCCAGGCTCTTGAAAACATTGACAAGAAAAAGGACTCTTGATTCAATCAGATTTAAGCTTAAGTCAAAAGGAAATCCGCTTAAATTATGAGGATTGGTTCTTGATTTAAGCTTAAATCTGATTAAATCAAGAGTATTTTTTCTTATCGATGTTTTTAAGAGTCTGGACTCTAGATCCAATGTGTTTTTTTCCAGTGAATGGAAAGAAAGAAAAAATCCATGAAACATTTTGTCGTAAATTATGTTTCAGGAGACCCTTTTTGGATTTTTTAACAATTAAAATTGGATTACATTTAGCAAAAAGGGCTTGTTTTACATATTTTTGAACGCACGAAGTACTTGAACGATCGATTCTAGCCAAGGCAACCTGCGTCGATAAAAATCGATCGTTTTCATACTTTCAAGTGGACGAAGCACCTAAACGATTGATTCTAGTCAAGGCAGTCCGCTCGATACAAATCGATTGTTTTCAGACTTTTAAATGGACGAAGAGCCTGAATGATTGATTCTAGTCAAGGCAGTCTGCTTCGATACAAATCGATTGTTTTACATACTTTTAAAGGGACGAAGCACCTGAACAATCGATTCTCGTCAAGGCAGCCTGCGTCGATAAAAATCGATTGTTTTCATACTTTTAAACGGACAAAGCACCTGAACGATCGGTTCTAATCAAGACAGTCTGATTCGATATAAGTCGATTGTTTTACATACTTTTAAACGGACGAATCACCTCTAGCCAAGGCAGTCTGCTTCGATACAAATCGATTGTTTTACATACTTTTAAAGGGACGAAGCACCTGTTGTTGTGGAACGAGCGAGGCTGGTCGCGGGCTCTGGAGGCACGAGGCTCCTCACGGAGTCGTGTCAACACCATCGGATGCCCGCAACGTTGAGTTCAACTTTTATTTTTAGTCCCCAGTGCGGGAGCCCGTAGGAGGGGGGCCGGGGGGGCCCTCGTTGGAACCCCCAGGCCCCCGAAGCCGAAGAGCCTGAAGAGGAGCAATTGATTGAAGCCTCGCAGCCTCTCAATGAATCGGCCGATACACGGCCCCCTTGCCGCATCTACTAGGTTTATTTCCGGGGTCGTCCGGAAGTTTGGCAACGCTGGACTGGACACCAAAAATACCATGTCTAAGAAATATGAAGACTAGGCCCCACGAAGATGCTGAGGGCCCCAAAAACGTACAATTTTTGCCAACCTCAAGTAAAATCCAGCAGTATAACTTCGGAAATGGGTCTTTAGAAGGGATTACTATGATTTACAACCACAAAAAGTGCAAAATACGAAAGATACTTCGGAAACAAAACACATTGGATCTAGAGTCCAGACTCTTGAAAACATTGACAAGAAAAAATACTATTGATTCAATCGGATTTTTGCTTGGATCAACACGAAATCCGCTTAAATTAAGAGGCTTGGTTCTTGATTTAAGCTAAGTAAATTCTGATTGAATCAAGGGTACTTTTTCTTGTCGATGTTTCTAAGAGTCTGGACTCTTTCTAGATCTAATGTGTTTTTTTTTCCGGTATAATTAATTACGAGTTCTGTAAATTTTAAGGTAGGTCCGCACCTACCTTTCAGTCTGTCAAAATCATAGAAGTTTCTCTCCAGTACTTTGAACTTTTTGCAGCGGGAAATCATCGTATTTTAATTCCTTGCAAGGATCCATTTTCAAAATTATACCGTTGAATTTTCTTCGAGGTCGGTATAAAAATGCCCTTTTAAATGTTGCTTCGAGGAATTGCTGAGATCTCCCTGATTCAGACCGTAGATCAAATGAGACTTCCGAAGGAATGGAGTTCTCTAAGGAACCCTTAAAAACACGACTCTGGAGATGGCATGAGCCAATCAGAAGTGGATTCCGCAGGGTCCGTTCGTATTCTCTCCCGACAAAAATACTCTATACCTCGGGAGCTGAAGCCACTTGTTTCCAGTGCAAGCATCAATGAACTCTATTACTGCCTCGCTAAGAAAAAACGCCGTAAGTACATTTGGGAGCTGCCAAATTACGCCGGATAAAACATGTATTTTTGTGGGATAGACATTCATATTTTGTCTCTAAAATTTTCAGATATTCCAGATCGAATTGCGAACAAAATTGTCTGAAAAATTCCAAGCAAAATATTGAAAGTTTCCCAGTAAATCCTATTTTTATCGAAGGAAATCTGGCAAACTTAGAAGGCTCATACGGCATTCTGCCTTAGCACGGCAGAATAGTGAAATTACGGTACTCTACGTGGATTGTTCCACTCAAAGTAAAATTAAAAACGAAATATTACAGGCACAAAATCTCCGTCCGACAGGTAGATAAAATACGTTTAAAATGCTCGATCCGACATTCATTGTATCATTAGTCATCGTTAGGGCAATAA